ATCTATCTATCTATCTATGGGACTCCCAGCGACCGTCGTGCACGATCCACGCCACGTGGAGTGTGGAGCTGCGCACAACGGTGCGCACGGACTTCAAAAGTTTTGCATGACCCCATTGTATGGCAACTGGTCCCAAGTGACGAGTAAGGTAGGAAAAGCGCTCCCTCAAGCTGACTGGTTGCAACAGCATGTTGACCTGCCAGCCTGTTCGGCGTCGCAGCGGTCCTGCAGAGCTGCACCAGATTAAGTAGGTATCTGGCGCCTTGCGGCGCTTGGGGATCACGCAAAATCGCACCTGAGCTGTGAAGGCCTACGAGACAAAGACGCTGCCACTGCGCTGCGAGCCAGCAGGAGCCCGCACTTGGCGCGACTGCGCAGCAGCTGCCGGCAATGGCGCTGCGCCTCTGGGCAAACCTCGTCACAGCTTCGGGGGGCAACAAGAGGCTCGCTGAAGTGTTTGGTAACTCCCCAACGCACGTTGAGGACGCATCACGTAAACCAGGCAGCACGCAAACTTTGGCCTCGCGGATTTTTGGAACAACCCAGAGTTGTGTTCCATTCGCATTAAGGTCCCTTGATCAGCCAGAGATGCTCGCCCGCAAGCTGACTACTGCGGGCCCGGCCAGGCTCTCGATGCAGCAGGTCCCAGCGCCGAGCCGCGCTGCGCCGCGGTTGCGCCGCCACTTGGCGATTGTTGCCGGCCTCCGCCGCCAGAAAAGAGAAGAAAAGGAGGTGGGCGCCCCATCCACGAGGGCCGCACTGCATGAGTGCTGCTGCGCGGCGCGTCCGCTGCGGCGTCCCTGCTTGGTCTGGGTGGGGGCTGGGAGGGGGCAGGCGGGCACGGGCGGCTTGGCCAGGGTACAGTTTTTTTCGACGCGTCCGGCCTGCGCCGCGGCCGGCGTCCTTTGACCGGGGTGTCGGCGCTGTTGACTATCTTTGACCTTCTGCCCCACGCACCCGGACCCCCGTTGACCATCCTGATTCGGCGGCCCCGCCCGCGCTCGCCCACACTGCCCCGGGCGCGCGCGCGCACTGCAATGGCAGCACGTTGAGACCCTGCAGAGGCTGTCACTCGCCCTGTCGCTGGTGACGCTCGCGGTGACGGCGGGCCTCGGGTACCGCTTCACCCTCGGCCTGCTCGAAGTGCGCGGGGACTACAAGAAGCTCGACGCCAATTACGAACGCATCGACGCCAATCTTGACCGCCTCGGCGCCAAGGTCGACGCCAATCTTGACCGCCTCAGCGCCAAGGTCGACGCCAAGTTCAACGCACTGATGCGGTAGCAGCGGCGAGCAGCTTTCCGGCCGCGTGGCGCGGCCGGGGAATCATTCATGACGACCGCTCCTCCGAAGGGAAGAACAAACACCACAGAGCAGCACAGGTTGCTTGGCAGGCAAGCATGGAGGGATGGCCGGGTCCTTCCCGCAGGAGCCCCTCCCGGCGGCCAGGGGTCGGTGCGCGCGCACCATTCGCAGGCCGGGTGCGACACGGCTGCCGGCCGACGCGCAACCTGCCCTGCGCCTGCGGGC